TGCCGGTGGTGAGGCGTCCTCAAGCCTGTCGTTGCGAAGACCTACACGCTGCCTGTCCCGGGAGCTCTGTGTGAAGGAGTCAACGTTCTCGGTGCTCCTGTGATTGTCCTTTGGGTGGAAGGGATCGAAGAACTGAAGCATCTCTCCGATTGAAGCCTCTCCTCCTGCCATAGCTCGAGGTCACAAATCCAATTCTCTTTCCATAACTCCTGGGGCAATATGAGTGGTGTTGTAAAACAGATCCGCTCCTATTATCTAAATGACACTGTTGTTGTTGTTGTTTTCAGGTGCCTCTGAGTTGATTCCAACTCACTGGCAACTCTGTGCGCAACAGAACAAAACACCACCTGGCCCTGCGCCATCCTCCCGATCGTTCATGTCTGAGCCCGTGGCTGCAGGCTCTGTGTCCATCCGCCTGGTGGAGGACTTCCTGCCCTCGACGTTACCAAACACAAACACGACAGTCCTTCTCCAGGGACGGGTCTCTCTGGCAGTGTGTCCAAAGTAGGGGAGACAAAGTCCCGCCGCCATCGCCTCTAAGGAGCCTTCCTCAGACGGAGCTGTCTGTTCTAGGGCAGTCGGGGCACTCAATACTCTTAACCTGCACCCTAGTGCAAGCGTACCACTCTTCCTCAGTCGTCCTTATTCAGGAGCATTACGAGTGACACAAAAGCAAGGGACTGCATGCATCCCCCTGCCTCAATGACTGAGCTTCTGTTACGGTCTCCAGATGTTTGCACCATCCTTCTCATTCCACGTGAAATGACTAGCTTAAAAAATTACAGTCATAAATACATAAACAAACCTAAATCTGGGTCTGACTGGACTAGAACCAGCCTCCTAATGCAGTAGCAACTGTGCCGATCAGCATGCTTGATGGGGCCTGGGATAGTGGCAGGCAGCCAGCATACTGTCCTCTAATCCATTCCTAGTCTACCTCCTAAATGTTATAAATATGCATGTGAGCCAAAGCAAGCTACTAAGGGTTTTATTCAAACATTTTTTTAATACTCCTTTATGTTCCCCTCAATGAAAGAATGTCTGCCTTTTCCCCTCTTTCTTTTTCTTTCTTTCTTTCTTTTTTGCATAAGGATCAGAGTATGAATTCTCTTTTGTTCATAGTCATAAATCCTGAAAACCAATAGACAACAAATTCGCTAATCCTCATTTCAGACCTCAAGGGTGAAGAGGTTCAAAATCACAATACTCAGGGAGTGCTGTTGACTTTGCAGAGCTGACGCCAAGAAGAGGGGCCTGTGTTCCTGGCTCTCCTGGTGCCGTCTGCTCCTCTGGGGACACAGCCTGCCGAGCACGAAAGCTGCCAGCCTGGCCCACCACCGTGGCTTTGCTAACGAATGATTCCAACAATGCCGCCAACCTCAGGCCATGCCGCAGCCTTAGCTGGGGCCTGGGAGTAGTAGCAGTGGTGGTCTAGGGGTCAGGCGGGCTGTTGCGGGGGAGAACAGGTTGATAAATTGGTCAGGTTTGGCAAGCAGATGCACATGCTTCGCGAGTTCCACTTCCTATGCCAGTAAGCTCCCACTCATGGGCAGGGAATGTAAAACATCAATTTGTCTCCTGGTATGATTTCTTAGATGAAACAGTGTGTCACATTGCCAGGGCAGAGAACTCCCAGAACTCTTTCAACAGCCTTTTCCCCTTCTCTTTCAGAACAATAAACCTTCTTTCTTACTTTGGGGTGGGTAACCAAAATAAAAGCTACAGTGTCTAGCCCCCCTTTCATGTGACGAACTAATCGAATGTGGGCAAAGCAAGGAATACAGCTTCCAGGTCATGTCCTAAAAAGGACACAGAGCCGTCTCCCCACCCCAACTTCTTCTCAGGGTCTGGACTGAAGATTCAGATGTCCGCTGTCTTGGACCCTGAGGCTGATGACCTGGCAAGAAAGAAGCGTGGAACCTTGACAGCTTCTCACAGTGGATCAGGAACCCCAGCTTGGACTTTCAAAAAAGGAAACCAAAACAAAGCAAAATCCCAAACCCTTGATCTTGATCAAACCTTTGTTAATTTGCTGCTGTTGTGGTTGTGTGTCCTTGGGCTGAGTTCAACACATAGCTGTCCCTTAGTCCTCAAAAGAACACCCGGCTGCCAAAGCAGAGGCTGGTTTGGGGGGTTGTAATTTTAAAGAAAGGAGCCCTGGTGGTGTAGTGAGTTACTCACGGGGCTACTAACTTCAAGGCTGGCAGTTAAAACCACCAGCTCCCTTAGTCTTGGAAACCCACAAGGGCAGTTCTACCTAGTCCTGTCAAGTTGCTATGGGTCAGAAGCAACTCCATGGCAGTGAGCTTGTCTTTCAGAATCTTTAAGGAAGCAGATTGCCCAGTTTTCCTCCTCCAGAGCCGCAGGACAGATTCTGAGCACTTCACCACTGTGCCACCGAGCCTCCCACTTGCTCCGTTAGGCTCGTGTGACTGGACTGCGGCCTTACTGCTCAGTTGCTTCTAAGCAAAAGTGGACTCTCTCAGTGAGTAGGCTGTGAAGGACCCACTGGGAGACCAGTACAAACCCACTATGGAGGGTGCGTAGTGCAGACCTGGGAAGGGCTGGGTTTCTCAAAAGAGCCGCCAAATCCCATCTTGACGTGCTCTCCATGCATTATGGGTACGACCCTGGGATCCAGAAACCTGATGAAACGTCTCCTCTTCCCTGACCAATGGCCAGCTTATCGTGGTAGTCGGGGTTGTCAAGTACTATCAGTCGGTTCAGACCCATACGCCCCTGTGGAAACCCCACCTGGCCCAGCGCCTCCTCACAGTTGTTCGGATAGGTGAGCCCATGGCGGCAGCCACACTGTCAGTCGTCTCATTAAGGGCCGTCCTCGTCTCTGCTGCCCGTCCACTTCACCACGCATGATGCCCTTCCCCAGAGACTGGTTTCTCCTGACAGCATCTTCAGAGTCTGTGGGACACACTCATGCCATCCTGGCTTGAAAGCAGTGGTTCTCAACCTTCCTAATGCCTCCACCCTTTAATACAGTCCCTCATGGGGTGGTGACCCCCCAACCATCAAATTATTTTTGTTGCTATTTCACCACTGTACTTTTGCTACTGTTATGAATCGGGCCACCCCTGTGAAAGCGTCGTTCAACCCCCAAAGGGGCCGTGACCCACAGGTTGAGAACCGCTGCTTTAAAGGAACATGCTGGCTATACTTCTTCCAAGAGAGATCTGTCTGTTCTTTTGGCAGTCCGTGGTCTTCTCAATATTCTTGCCCAGGCCATAATTCAAAGGCATCGATGCTTCTTCAGTCTTCCTTATTCAATGTCCAATGTTCATAAGCGTGAGTGGCCATCGAAAACACCGTGGCTTGGCTCAGGCGCACCTTAGTCCTCAAAATAACATCCTTGCTTTTCAACACTTTAAAAAGGTTTTGTGCAGCAGATTTACCCAATGCAATGTCATTCGATCTCTTGACGGCTGCTTACACGAACACTGATTGTAGATGCTTGCTTTTCTCCGTGTATCGTGATGTTACCGATGGGTCCAGTTGTGAGGATTCTGGTTTCCTTCACATTAAGTTGTCATCCACACTGAAGGCTGCAACAGCATCAGCAAGTGCTTCAAGTCCTCCTCACTTGCAGCACGCAAGGTTGTGCCACCAGCACGCTGAAGGTTGTTAACAGGCTTCCTCCAATCCTGATGCCAACTTCTTCATGCAACCCAGCTTCTCTAGCATCAGACTGCCTAAGCGTGGTGAGGGGAACACAATCCTGACGCCCATGCCCCATCCTTCTTAGTGGGGGGACCAACTGAGAAAATAGCTGCCCTCCAGTAGGGGAAGTCTTTGAGGAGTAGATAGCCATGTTATTTCCTAAGAAGCTTAAGCCATGGGGATGGCGCTTAGCCCTCCGCTTCTTTAACAGGAGAGGCCTTAGCATTCAACTCGTTCTCCAAGCTGATCAGAGCTGACCCTGATGGGGTCACTGCATGGCATTTCAAATTCTCCTAGACTCACACCGACAAGTTTGGTTTTCAGAAATGATTAGACTTCCGTGATCCTTTATGGCTTATGGGAACACTGACCCGCACATACCATGGACCCACCAACCCATCACAGGACTTAGATGGAGCAGGCGATATTACCATTTTCTCTTGAGGAAACTGACCCATGGAGAAGTGAAGGGAAAATTAAAGTGAAGACATTGAGAACTGAACCTCCCGTCTTCTGAATTCCCAGCACCGGGCTTTTACCCAGTCGCCACATTTACCCTCCTAACTCATAACCCCCGGCAGACACTGGACACCTCCCGGGCAGTTCTGCTCAGAGGAGTCACAAGACAATGGATCATTCCATTAACATGCTCCAGGCAGCAAAAAGAAGGCTTGGCTGTGACCTGCTATGATTGCTTAACAAAGAAAATAAACAGCATGGCCTTTCTCTGTGTGGGGGCAGGGCTTGTGGGGGGTGGGTAGTGATGGTCAGGAACCATATTGAATCGGTGCCACTTCCACAGCTATTCTTTAAAAAAGAATGTTTGGGGGTTCTAAAGATCCCCCCCCCCCAGTCCCTCCCTGAAGTTGGATGAAGTTTATTGGGAGAAGCACTAGCAAAATAGATAGATGACTATTTTCTCATAAAGATCTGCTCTAGGGTGCCTTTACACCTCCCTGGACCAGACAAGTTAAGCAGACGCACATTTCAAAGGCATCCAGAAGCCGTCTAGCGCCACAAACCTTAGAAGAAACAACAGGCTGTGCAAGTCGTGCTGGAAGGCCCCGGGCATCCGAGCCACAGGCAGCGGGGATGACAGCGCACCGCATAAAAGTTAGCGGCAATGTCACACAAAGGAGAAGTGACCGAGTCAAAGAGGTAGCCCGTTGGAACCAGATATTGCACAACTCCTCAATGCGTACCCACCTTTTTCTTTTTCTTTTTCTTTTTGCAAGCACGGCTGCCCACACGGCAGTTATTTCCTTTATCCGTATGGATGTAAATCTGATTGTATAAACACAGTGTGGTGTGGGTTATACTGTACGTACCATTTTTTCAAAGTTTACGAGGTTGTCGATGAACGTCTTGTTCCCCTCATGAATAAACGTCATATCTGTATGGGAATAAAAGCCACACTCTAATCACTCGCGGAAACAAGTCCTACCAGGAGAGCACAATAGCACCATGAGATTATGCGGGTGCATTTGCATAACACTGCAATGGAACCGGCTGATAGTCACTCCTTGTATGCTAGGTGTTTAACTTTCCCAGTCACTTCACCAGAGGTGAGTAAAAGCACTAGGCTAACCCTCTGTCTCACTAGAAGGGCTTCAGAAAAACCTTGGGCCCTCTCTCCTCCCCCAACCTTCCCTGTCCTTGGGCGAAAGTCAGGGTGGAGAGATGGAAGGGTGGGATCCTCCTTGCCAAAGAGCTCCACCCAATCAGGGGACTGCTCAGTCCAACTCCCCACCTCCCCCTTCCCTCACTCCCCATCCTGACCCCCAATCCTCAACCTCTGGGCATGTATTGCCTTGGAACCAATTACCTTTTATGAGCAAAGGCATGAAGGGAATGAGAGGCGCCTCCAGTTTAGCTACTGTCAACCTGTAGGCTCTGTGGTTTCTTGAAGGATCCTTAAGAGAAGCAGAGAGACACCTGTTAAGGACGAAAGATACATGCACCCTACCCCTACCCCCACCCCACCCCACCCCTGCCTCTGAATATACCCAGACTGGTTATTTGGTGTTTTGGAATCACCTGTAGCTATAAAAAATGAGAGCTAGCGCTCTCTCGCTCTCTGCCATCAACTTAATGCCAATTCATAGTGACTCTGTAGGGCAGGGCTGACCTTCCCCTGTGGGTTTCTGAGACTGGAACTCTTTATGGGAGTAGAAAGCCTCATCTTTCTCCTAAGGAGTGGCTGGTGGTTTCCGAACTGTCGACCTTGCAATTAGCAACCCAACACAAAACCACTATGACTTGTGTTTTAACACAACTTCAGGGAAAGCATGAAAAACAAGCAAACCAAAGACGGCCTTTTGTTTCATTTCTCATTTGAACAAGAGATTTGTCTACAAGAAAGAAGGGGCAAGGTTCCCCTGAAAGCAGTAAGAAGTATGCACCCAAATGCGAGCCAGGAGAGTCCCCTTCTCTTGAAAGCCCTCGCAGACCTAAGACAGGGAGCTTGTGTTCACCCTCCCCTCTGCCTTGCCCTCAATCCGGCCAAATGCTACTCCTTTCCTGTGGTGAACACCACCCGGCCAATGGGGGGAAACAGTTCTGGTGAGCCAGACCCACAGCTAGCTCCAGACCCGTGGCCAACCTGCGCTGGATGGAAAGAATCCTAGGTGAGTTTTTTTAGTTACACAAATTGACCTTCTGTGGGGCATCAGTCCTCTTTAAGTGACTTCCTAAGGGTGCCATTCATTAGTCAGACATGCTTGTTTTAGCAGCTCTAAAAAGGGGCCATAAACTTCTTAAAGTCAGACAAGGACAGATAAAATTTCTGAAATGAGAACTCCAATTCAGCTCATCAGAAATTGGATTAATACCGATAGTGGACAGAGTAAAGGCTGCCACTTACCATTAAACTTTCAAACTCGGCATAGAACTTCTTGAACTTGCTCGGCAGTTTCTGTTAATGAAATGAAAATGCCACACACACGTCAGGGTTGGCATCATGAGCTACGGTTTCTGGGAGGGAGGAATGCATCCTGGGGCTCTTAATCTACCGACTATAACCTCTCTGACCACGTGAGAAGAATCTTCTGGGAAAGAGAGAAAACAAGCAAACACCAAGCCCACTGCCATGGAGTCAACGCTGACACTCACTACAACCCTATAGGGCAGGAGAACACCCTGGTGGGTTCCTTTGGCGAACAGTGGGTGGTTTAGAATTTTTAGGAGCCCAACATGAAACCACCATGCCACCAGGGATCCTTGGGGTAGAGAGATCCCTTTAAAAAGTCTTAGTCTACTCCAAAAGTTCCCAGATTTATTTGGCCCACCACCCTCTGTTCAGGGGGAAACAAGTTACTTGGTGCGCTCCTTCTAATGAAAAGCATTTGACCCATAGCCCATAATCCGAGATGAAGGGCAGGCATTGTCGTGGGAGCTCCCTTGGGGGGTTCCTCCTAACAGCTCTAGAGGACAGGGCAGAAGTTCCTTAGGGTTTTCCCAGACTGCAACTGTATAGGAGAGAAAGCCTTTCCCAGACTGCAACTGTATAGGAGTAGAAAGCCTTT